GGGAGTACGAAGCACAGCAACAAAGCCATCTATCTCACCCTTTTTTCTCCCTCTTCCCAGGCAGAGGACAGAAGCAGAAAGTATATCCTATTTCATTCCTTTGGTATTCAGAAGTCAGAACGTTATTTTAAAATAATCTTGCTATTAGAGGTCAGGTTATTGCTGCTGCTGACGAGCCACTACAGTGGATGCTATTCAGAGGAGCGGGGAAGAGGGAAGGGATCCGCTCCGATTGCCACAGGAGCCGGGGCTCGGATCAGCGGCTCACTGTGCGCACCTGCAGCTCTGCCAGGGGCAACCGAAGGGAGCTTTTCTCAGGGAGCCCGGCCCACCCCGGGGACCTCGTCTCGGCCTCTCTCCTAGGGAATTGCTGGAGGGGGAGCGCAGGGTTACGCCAGTGCCGCTAGCTCAACATTTGTCCAGTATCAAACCCAGCCTGGGGCTGGAAAACACAAAGCTGTTTGCAAAGTTTTTCAAAATGCCAGGTCCATTTTCCTCTGAACTTACAGAAAGCACATCTCCTCTCCTCTTCTTTCATTTCAGTAATGAAATCTTTGTATCCTTGGTTTTTTTCCCCCAGTTTTCCTAGTTTCAAAAATCAAATCCCCTGTTCATAGGTAGCTAGATGGACACTCTTCATTTTCAATGAAGATGTCAATCAAAATGATCCCCTCTCTGTTGGACACACAATATAATTGGCATTAGATTTACCTGCTTGTAGTTGGGCATTTCTCTAAGTACCTTGTTCTTTTATTTATAAATAAAGTCCACTCTAGGAGGGAGATCACCCCACGATACAGACTAAGAAATCTGGTTGCTAACAAGCAGGCTCTGCCCTCCCACTAGGTGCCTCTTCTGCACTTGGAGATTTTGTTATCTACAAAACCAGCATAAAAGATAGAGCCTCTGCTGTGATACCAGCAATAGCACACAGTACCTAGCAACTTCTTCGTCTTTTATTACTAAGATCTCTTTTGTGAGATCTCTTCCATGTAGAGCCCTAGTGAATAACAACTAGTAAGTATCAACTTAAGTGCGTCAACGCACAAAACTAAGGGAGGTCCCAAACGCACAAAACCTTCAGCCCGGGGTATCTTAATTTTCATCAGCCTAGGAAAGTTTAATGCACCTGTAGGAGTTTCCAGGAGCAGTATCTGAGCAACACTCCATGCTTAGCTCCACTATCAGGAAGGCTTTGAGTGGCTACATAGAACATTAATTGGTGAACTTTCAAAGCTGCCTTTCATTGCCATAGTTAAATGGAGTAGCACCTCAGGTACATTAAAACCAGAGTAGGAGTGTAGTTGAATTGACCTCAAGTGTCTTCTGTAAGAAAGGGATTTGTCCTCTGATCATATTTTCCTCTTGTCTGTCAGGCCACAGTTGATGTATGTGGTTTGCTGTGCTCTCAGGGGTTGTGTGTTTTGCACCAAGTTATGTATGGTGCTACCGCTCAGTTACCGTCATGCTGTTCGCTGCAGGGATGTAACAGGACTTCAGCAGCATTCAGATTCATTTAGAATATAAAATATAATATATGTACACAGAAAATATATTTATATAGACAGAGTGAGGGTATGCGTATATGCGTGTGTGTGTGACAAAGGCAATGATCCCGAGAGCCACACCTGATGGTGATGTTTCAAGGATAATACTTAGCTCAGCAGAGAAACTTATGTTTGAAGCTCTCACTGTGGCACAAAATCTACTCAACGGTAGGTATTGCCTCCTAATAATTTTCAGAAGAAGCTGACCAGCAGCTCTACGCACTGTGGAATAGTCTCCTGGGAGAGGAGCAGGGAAGTATATGGTTTTAAAGTAAACTGAGTCACGCATTTAGAACTACATGGAAGTGAAAGCCAAAGCAAAGGAAGACCCATGTAGCTTTTGGTGCTGATGTCTGTGCTTTGAGTGCCAGAATACCCCTATGGAGACAGGAGTTCATGTGATGCACTGAAACCAAACTACGGAAAACTTTGGAGAGTCCTATCATTCTTGGTGACTCCTTGGACACTGGAGAGTCACAACACTGAAATGTGAACTTCTTACGCATAAGGAGCGAAATAAATCCAAATTTGTGTCAGGCAATGAATTTATAAGGCTGCTATTGTGTCTGAACTTATCAAACAAAGCCTTCATTTTCAATCCTATCTAAAAATCACTGAGGCCAGCAGCAGCCTTTTCACTGACTGCTTCAAGAGACTTTGGAATAGGCCCTTTCTGAACTAAGCAGAGAAAAAAATTAGGAAAGGAAAAGAAACATATAATGATAATTATGCAAAGTATTCTCAGCCTCCCTCAGAAATGGACATGTTTAACTGCAAGCTGACAAAAAGCATTTGGGTAATAGTTAACATTCAAAAGATGTTTCATTACAAATTGAATCATTTATGTAACAGCAGTGCAGTTTCTTCTTTTATTTCCCTTCAGACATTTTCTATTGCATAAAACACTTTTGTACTCATCATTCTTGCAGTATTAATTGCCAGATCAACTTTCAGCAAGAATCACAGGTGAGAAATTCAGAAAGGAAAGGTGAAGCTGAAACAGAACATACTGCTCTCCCCCAGTAAATAATTTAGTTTCAGTTTTGATGTAACAGAGTACTCAGATAAAAATAGATTAAAATAAAATTAACATGGGAGGACTTGGATACTGAAATTAAGCAGATATGAACATTATTCTACAGGCTAATTGCAATTAACCCTGAGCACTAAGAGCATTTTTTAAGTAGATCATCTTCTGCAATGATTCATATCTATCAAGGCTGCTGAGTGATCATCACTAGGGTCACACATCTAGTTTTATTGTCAGTCAAGCAAGATACACCTTTGACAGCTTCTTGGTTGGCACTGGGAGATGGGGCAGCATACGTCAAGGACAGCTCCCACAGGAGAAGGCTGTCGCAGGCTGGCTGGCGGCAGCCCTATCTTCACCAGCTGCAATGGGCATGTTGACATGAAAACAAGATCTATAAATACGCCCGTCTCAACTGGTCTGTCTTTATCAGCAACTTGGTATGTTCTTTTTCCAAGGGTAATCTCGGGCTGCTTATGTTTTTTGCATCATGGAAATATTTCAGCTTGTAAAAAAATAAGAACTTTCAGCAATGGAAGTCAGATTGGTGATGATGCTCCTTTCTTCAGAGACCCAGTGCCTTCTCTTGGCATGACCTCATGCTCCCCGAGAGGCAACAGGCCGAATGGGCAAGGATAGTGAAGCACCCACGTGCCTCCTGGCTTTGGCAGTGGCCAGCAGCAGGGACAAGCCAGCAAGGGTGGTGGGAACCACAGCAGCACCCGTGTGGAGGTGGCCACCGTGGAATAGAAGCCAGCCCTGATAGCCTGACAAGGTGCTGCATGAACATGCTCGGGTCTGCAGAGGGCTGGGCAGCTCGCGTGCAGCCTGGCTGCTGCAACTGGCCTGAGTCCGATTTGCAAGGGCAGCTGGAGCCACCTTGCTACAGCAGGGCGTTGTGCTGCACAGACGGGCCTGGAGCGCTGCCTTGGAGAAAACAAAGTCCGTGCTGCCCCTCTAACTCTGTGCTCGTCCTAGCACTTTTCCCCCCACAGAAACACCAGGCAGGGCTAGGCCTTCATGGGTTTTTCTCTCAAGCTTTTCTTTAAAATAAAGGGAGAACAAACAAAAAAACTCACAGCTTTTTAGCAGTGCCCCATTGCAGTTCACTACAGTTCCCATGGGCAAGTCTATTATGCCGCTCCCTACTGATTTCACTAGCGTGGGGAAAAAAAAAAAGAGAAAATGTTAAGAAAATACTAAGATACTGCCTATCGCATTTGAGTGTGCTGCCCCAGAAGCCTTCCTCCTTGCCCACCACGCTTGGCATCCTCATAGGCACGCCTGCATGGCCTGAATCAGCCCCAGATAGCTTCATTTTCACACAAGCACCTGAAGTCACATGCAATCACAGCTGAGCAGACCAGCAATCTGCTCCTTGCTGAAACCAGCTCTCCAAGAGTTTCCTGTCTGCTTTAACTTCTAAAGTTTTCGTTAACAAGGACATCACGGCAGGTAAAAAGTAGGAAGAAGCAGAGCCGCAGCTTGGGGAAGTGCAGCACTATGCATCGCCCCTCAGCCCAGGCCAACTTCACAAGCGTATCAACAGCGTGGCTTTTCCAGCCCTGTGGAAAACTTCCTACCCTCTGGCTGATAGCGCCTTGCCAGCAACCCTCCCAGTTTGCAGAAAGAGCCGTGCTGGCAGAAAGCAGCAGCTATTGGCTTTACCTGTGCCATGGCAGAGATGACATAACTGCGGCACAAGAAAAACACGTGCTGCTGGCACCATGTGGCATGTCGGTGGGGGAGCAGCGCTGCCACAGCCATGCTGGCACAGTGACAACAGCGACAGCTTCTCCTGTGCGGAAAGACCTGTAGCTTTAACTGATCCCAATCCATAACTGAATGCAGATCTTTCAGGAAAGGCAGTAGTGACTACGCAATAACTGCCAGCTGCCCACAGGAAGCAACTGGTTTCAGCCCATTTCTTGGTGGACAAGTACCCATATCCCGTGTTAACTCCGTGGCTGCTACACCAGCCAGATGGCTGACTCCCTTCTAAAAAATGCACAGTAGCCCTGCTGGGCAGTGGGGGGGGGGGGGGGGGGGGG